TTTCTATTCACATGCTTGTGGAACAAAGCTACTGCACAGTTCGAGCTACTGCTGGATATCCTGTTGATATCACACAGCCTCATTCTTTAGGCTATGTATGTGTGTTTGTGAGTTACACATAGCCGGCGTTGTACAGTGCTGCTGCATGGCTGGGGTTCATTACAGATTCCTTTTGTGTAGCTTACTTTCTCTCTCTCTCTCTCTCTCTCTCTCTCTCTCTCTCTCTCTGTGTGTGTGTGTGTGTGTGTGTGTGTGTGTGTGTGTGTGTGGAATGCTTCATTCCAGCAGTGTCTAAACTAGTGTCCTTCAAGTGTCATTATTGAAGTGACTGGCATATTTTGTGACAGAATTTCTACACCATCATAGGCACAAATAAAATCTCTTTATTATATATTCACAAGACTCAAATCTTTGCTTTATACTAATGTAATGATGCAAACTATTTTTACATTAGGTTTTCTGTCAAGTAACTGTGTAATTGTTTCATCTCTAATTTGATATGTCTGTTCTGTTACTGGGTTGAAGTATCTAATACCTTAATAACAACATGCAATGTGTTAATATCTATCTTTTATGATAAACGTTATGAATGTGTGGACAACAGCTTTGTGTTCTATCATTATTTGGGTTATAAATAAAAAGCATAAAGTAGACACTGTAGTCAAATTCCCAAGGTCACAAGTTACTCTACTGTTTGTGTAGTTTTCTGCGTGAGTTGTCAGTGAGTGGTGTCGTGAGCTCAGGAGGAAGTGAAATAGGGAAGAATCGGGGGAAAAGTACGAGAGAAGAGGATAAGAGGACAGAGACGTGAGTGTCTGCAGGGTCACTTATTTTTAGTTGTCACTGTCCTCTATTGACCTCCCTGCCTGGACACACACACACACACACACACACACACACACACACACACACACACACACACACACACACTCACACTCACACTTGAACTACTGATTTGACCAGCAAGACCACGCTGGGATGCTGCTGTATGAAGCCGCAGCAACTTCACATGTAACTCTATTCTGTTTGGTGATCTGCTCACATGGACCGTGGCACATTTTGACATACATCCATTGATGTGCAGACTTCAATATAAATATCCATTCTCATAGCAGTCTAAAGTCATATACTGCATTAATGTCATTGTACTTCTGTATAGTAGTTTTTATATTCAGTGTGTTATGTCTATGTGCATCATCTAAGTAACTTTGGCTCCCAAGTCAGTCTAAACATTTGGAAACCCTCAGCACCTAACCATCTGCTTACCGCCAAAAAATATGTATTACTTCTACTCTACATACATTGGTCCAACATATTTTAATCTTGGGGTTTAACTTGTGCATTCAAACAGCTACCTTAGAGCCGAGGCATCACTGCTGCCTACATCTGTAGGTTTGCATTCAAAGTTGCTCTGGACAGTGTACTTGTTATGGGATGTAATTCTTTCTATGTTGCGTTGCCAAGATATACCACAATTACATGTATACGTTCCAGCAATGTGGTTTTCATTTGAACCCACGGTTTGAGTGTGTGTGTGTGTGCGCACAGATATATGAAGCTACGTATGTACATGTGTGTGTCTGAGTGCCTCGCTGTTGCCAGCATCCACTGAGAAAACGCCGACATGCAAGATAAGAGTTGTGTGATTTATGTGACACGCATGTATTTACATATAGAAGCCAGAAAAACATTATAAAACATATGTTGCCTCATCACAGCTTTTGCCAAAATGTACATTGAGACATCGTCCAAGGGCGAGTCGACTCAAACAGGTGAAATCCATTAAACATGGGTTTTTTTTATGTTTTAATGCTCTACTTGAGACACATTTGAGTTTATGACAGTTTATTTTGAAAAACCACATAATTTTGAACTTCATGCTAAATTAAAGATTGTTTTTTCAGTTTAAACTGAAACTTGTTCAACTATGACTCAGTCCTTCAACTATGAACTGACAGAGTCCAGGTCTGTCTTTTTTCATAGGGGCTTTTCTTAATGAGAACAGTTTGTTGCTCCGAATTTAAAGTACAACTATAAATATATAATGTTTACAATTTCTCTCTATAAAATGTAAAGGGATTTTTATTTTTCTGTAACATTTATAATCTTATTGACTTAAAGTAATTTACAGTAAAGGTTCCATTTACAAACACATTCAGAGTCTCCAGGTATATGTGAACGTGTTTGTTTGTCAGCCCTGTGACTTGGGATCGGCTCCAGACCCCGGCATCCCTTAAAGAGAAAGTGGTATTGATAATGGATGGAGTGGATGACTGTAGAACTAATACGCATAAACTTGAAGGCTGTTTTTTTTAAACGGTCTTCTGTTTTTCTACTCCTCAGTCTGTGGTTAGTTTTTTGATGTGTGTGACCATGTGGTGTGTGGCTGGATCCAGAGTGAAGATTTTATCCACAACCGGCAGGTTTTGCTGATGAGGTGCCAAGAGGAACTGTCAGTGGCACGATGGAGCAGTCAGATAAGAGAGGGAATGGAAGTTGAAGGCCAAAAAAAAGAAAGAGCAGCGAAGTGAGAGCGAGGAGGAGAGTGCAGAGAGTTATCGTTTTGTGTACCTCAGTGGACACATAGCATGACATCAGTGCTGCCAGAACAGGACTTGATTCACTGGGGCCACCCATGCTGGGTCTAACGTACTCATGCTACAAACAGAACAACTGAAAAGATACAAAAATAAAAGGCCAGTGAATAATGTGTGATAGAAAACAAGCGGTTTCTCTGAAAACAAAGATCCAGTCAGCAGAACATTTTATTATGGCTTGTAACTGTGTTAAAGGAAAGTATACATTGTTTCTGATTTTACTTATATAGATGAACAATCAGAACACAAGAATGTATCTGTCACCTCAAACTCTCCTGAAAAGCTGCACGTGTGCTTTTAAGTCAGAGTAGCGGCCTCTTATTTTCTTGTTTGGAGGAAACAGCTTTGAAAGGCTCCACATTCATTACCAGTAAACAGGAAATTGTTGCTAGTTACTTATTAAAGGACACATTATGCTTTGTAAGTTTTTCTTTTCTTTTTTTGCATAATACACACCTAGAAGCTAGTCTTGTATTTCCCCGTGCATCAGATACAGCGAGAGCAGAGACATTTGCTCTTCAAAGAGACAGGAGCTGAAACCCAGTGTTTCAGACAGAGGCTGAAAAGAGGAGCTGCAGCGATGGCCAGTTTGAGGAGAGTTGTGTTTTCTGAACATTAGAGCCTGTGAACCTTTTCAATTAATAACACAAATTTACAAATCTGAATAAGAGCATAATATGTCTCTTTCAATATGTCAATGAAATGATACATTTTATTTGTGCAAATGTTTTTTAGCCGAGCGACTTAGAAGTCATGTTGTTTTTCAGTCCATTTCCAACTCAGTCCACATTGCTTTTATATCATACTTGCCCTCCAGCTGCTGTGTATTTCACTGAATGAAAGTAGTTTTTTCTTCAATGGACACAGGCACTATATAACCACAGTTTATTCTTCAAGGTTGGAATGTGGTCTGATCATACTTTAGTTATTTTGATGCTGCAGAGCCACTGTGACTCACTGCTAACTGACATCCTACAATGTTTTCATGAGTCAGACGCAAGAGTAAGAGGTGTGTGTGTGCGTGCATAGAACTGACGGAGTGAGGACATCTTTGGAAAGTGAGGACATTTTGGCTGGTCCTCACTTTTGTTTGAGGGTTAAGACTTGGTTTTAGGGTTAGCGTTAGAATTGGGTTAGGGTTAGGTTAGGGAATTGGGTTAGCCATTTAGTTGTGATGGTTAATGTTAGGATAAGTGGTTGGCAAATGCATTATGCCTGTGAGTGTCCTCACTAAGATAGAAGTACAAGAAAGTGTTTGTGTATTTGCCATCATGTGTATGTTACTGGCAACACATGCAGGAGCTGCAACGCCTGTGATTCATTTCTGCAACTGGCAAGCAGAGAGCAGATCTTTCCAAATGCACATTTTGTCCACACACACAGATATGCATGGTGAACGTGTGGTATTTACACGAACATGGCCTATTACGCTGCATCTGTGTGCTCTCTCAACCCTCTCCGTCCTTTCCCTGACTCCCATCTGTCTCTTACGTGAGACTCTTGATCTCTCGGCTTGTTTTCCGTCTCTTTCTCTTCATATTTGTCTGGATTTCATTTTGAGTTCCATCCATATTTTCAAAACACTGCTGAAATACGTTTTTGCTGCTTGTGCACATTTTGTATAGTTCCTGTCCTCCTCTCTCTTGAAAGATTGGTATTTACCTGCTGGGATTGACCACGTCATACTGTCACCTATGTTGTAAGGCTTTGACTTTTTTATTTGACCATAGAAGTAAAAGAAAAAATATTCATTATTTAAAAATTCTTATATCTCACCGTCTCAGTGTCCAGTTAACAAGAAAGTTATAGAGATTCCTCTCTCTCTCTCACTATCTTCCCCCTCCTTCCTCTATTTCACTACAACCCAATAGGACGCGTGTGTGACCTTGGTTCACCCAGCAACAGGGAAACTTTGTACAGGAGGTAACCCTGCCTTGAGTTAAAATGGCCAGGAAGCTAAACTCGCCGTGAGTGTCTGTCTCCTAGGAGCTTCTAGCGCCTCATGTATTATTTGAAAGACATCATCCATCTGTCCGAAGGCTTTTCACTGCCTCACTTGGCCAATGTGACTCAAGATTAATGGCACTTTTTGCACTCTTCACAGCACGTGCACAGATACACACAAACGCAGTAGCTGTCAACCTTCATCACTAACACCACTGGGGATCCACTCACAGTATCCACAGTCTGCATTTAGGCTTTTTCCATTTACTCTCACTTTCGGTAACTGCATAAAAAAGGGAATCAAATAATGGTTTTCTGTGACATGGTGGTAGGAATGTAGTGATAGTAATAATGTGATGTTTTACAGTTTGTGGGTGAATAAGGTTTTTCTTCCTCTCGTGTCCAGAAGTGGTCGAATAAAACTGCTAAACCTCTGACAGCTTCTCTCTTTCCTCTCAGGTCTGTCGACGGCCAAGAGGAAGTTTGCCGACTCTCTCAACGAGTTCAAATTCCAGTGTATTGGAGATGCCGAGACGGACGATGAGATATGCATAGGTGAGCTCGCCGAAATGAAATCTGATACGTTCACTGTGTGGGAAGATGAAATCTAGTAAGTAAATCTGTAGACGGCACTTTTCCATTTATAGTCACCAAAATAGAAACAGTCGTATCAGCTCAGATATAAAAAGCAGCTAGATTTTTCCGATAAACAAGCTCAAATTATGCCTCTGCTGAGTCTGTTCTGGTATCAAATGTTTGTGTTTGATGGAAATCGAATGAAAACTGTCATTTTCTCCTCCAGGCTTTTTTATTGCCTGACAAAGCAAATAATGGAAAAATAAAAAAACGTACTTCACAGTTAAATCCTCAAAGTTTCGTGGTAGAGAAATAAATTATGATATACAGATAGGTCATTATACTTATGGGGTGTTGGGTAGAAGGTATTGCACTTTTAAAAACTGTTATAATGATGCATATAAACTGTAATCATTGCAGTATTGTGCTTGTGCATGTAGTCAAGTGAAGATTGGGCCTGTGTTCAGTACAATATCATTATGTAGTGTCATGAAGTATTGGTCTACATGAGAACAATCGTTCCATGAACTCATCGGCTTTGCAATGCTCTGCTGTGAAACATGCAGCGGCCGCCACACCCTCTCCTGGCTCTGTCTCTGCAGGCCGCAGCTCTTAAACTGACCTCACCCACCCACCACTGTTGTTTAACTATCCTCAACTATCTTTCCTGAACAGCTTGCTGCTCAACCGGACTGCACAACGGCAGCCTTTGTTTTTTAGGATAGTCATTTTCATACATGGGTCAAACTGACTTCTCTGCCATACAATGATTGTTCCACCCTAAAGCGATCTACAACATTCACATATTGAATGAGTTTGAATTTAAACAGTTTAAAAAGTAATAAGTCTTTACACAAAGACAAAAATGGCCAAAAACAATCTCTTATTTTTATTGGTTCAGTGTCTCATTATAAATGTCTCAGTATCATATACTTTATATCCACATGTGATTGATTTTGTGTGATTGTGCTGAAAGGTTTGACTGCATTTATAAGCTTCATTAAAAGGTTGTGTTTCTTTTTAATACATTCCTGCATGGATCCCTTTTTTACAGTTGGATCCAACCTCCAAGATCCAAATCCTGCAGCTTAAGCTTAATGTCGAGGAGCTTTGTGTGTGTGTGTGTGTGTGTGTGTGTGTTCTCTCTCCTCATATAATGATTAAGGATTAAACATGCTAATTGTGTTTGTGTGTGTGTGCTGGACAGAGGCAACTGAAATGGAAGCTTTGGCCCAAAACCATGCAGCCGTGCTGTGCTCACTTTGAGAGCACCGTAGAAACGAACCCTCTGAGTTGCGGTTTTATTTCTAGTTAATCATTCTGCTGTGTCATGACTTTAGAAACTTTTGTGAAAGGTCCAAGAACAGAAACAAAGGCACCCTCATCACGTTCACCTCATGCCAGCTCTTTTCAAACACTCCCTCCATTTCTGTTTGTACTTGTGTGTCTCTCACCATCCCCTACTTGAAGTACCAACGTTTTCTCTTTTCTTTCCAGTTGTGTCTTGTTTCTAATTTGGCATTCTCGTCTTTTCCCCCGGCCTGTTGATGTGTCTGCCCTCAGCCAAGTCTCTTCAGGAGTTTGCAGCGGTTCTGCAGAACCTGGAGGACGAGAGGACACGGATGGTGAGTGACCTCACAAACTGTCAGGGATCTTACAGGTTGGACAACGGGAGGGAGTAAGAACTGTGTTTTTCAGAATAAAGCTTTTAAAGATGTCAGTACATATATATATGTTCTTTCTATTTTTCCTGTCATGCCAGTACATTTCCCTTTTCTTAGGCTTTCTCCAGATAACTGGCTAAATTATGTAGATACATGCCATGCAGTATATGTATATAATGTCCATAATAAAGTGTGTGTTTCCCCAGATCGAGAACGCCAGCGATGTTCTGATTATGCCTCTGGAGCGGTTCAGGAAAGAACAGATCAGTGCAGCAAAGGCAAGTGAATGACATTGAACAGCCACAGTGAGGGTGACAATTCACACGTGCACTGCACAAGTATTGACACGTGCACAGTGTCAGTGAAACACAAGTACATCAATAATATTCTGTTCTGCAGCTATTAACTGGCTGACATGGCACTCAACTTAAACCTATTTGTTTAGTTTTAGTTTAAAGTTTAGTTTAGTTTTAAATCTATATTTGTTTGTGAATTTAACTGTAACACAGTGACAGCCGTTCACAAAAAGTTTCAGGTGTGATTCTACTTTGTTTCATAATGACGACAGTTAGATTTCCTGAGAGACTTCAGCTCTCGCTGGATGAAGCACTGCAGGTGAAACCATTTCCTGTCTCAGAAACATTCACCACCTGGTCGACATTGTTCTGCAGTTTATCAGATTTTCACAAGTGTCTTCATTTTTTATATCCATTACATCTGGATACAATTACCCATATAATATGTTGTTACTGTAGTCTTATGTAATGCACCCTAAAATAACATGATTACTGCTGTTCCCTTAAAACGGCACATCTACTGCTCATACGGCCTTTTTCTAAACTACTGGCACATGTTAAATTTCCTCTGAGAACCTCCAAGATAATTGCAGTATTTCCTGTAGTGTCAGAAGCAATGCTCATTATACAGCACAGCGATATTAGGCACATCCTATAATGTTTCTGCAGTCACAGCTTTGCAAGGATACTTTGGAATAAAGTTGATAGAACAAGAAAAATATCCCCAATTACTGAAAACAATACCATAAAGGACACTGTATTGTAGTGTTGATGACACCTCACAATGCTCAGTCTAAGGTGTTAAAGTCAGTTATTTTAACAGTGCGGCCTCACAATAACTTTGCTCTGACAGAATCTTGTAAAGTCTCTTTAAAACGAGCCTGTAATGAAAGGCTGTAGTAGAATATTTATTGCATGTGTCCAGGTCTCCTCTCCTTCACTAAGTCTACCAGTATCACAGTCTGTGCCATCACTTCCATGACCTGGATAGGAGATTAGAGGAATACATAATCCTGCCATAAATCACTGCCTCCCACTGGGGGGTCTCTGCGAATGACAGGACTCCCTCACGGCACAGGCACTGTTGTTTTAGAGTTTCAGCGAGTACAAATCTTTTCTACCTTGACTGAGGGTACAGGACGGTATGAAAACTTTGGACAAAAAAAAGTACCTACATGGTGGACCTCAAATTTACAACACATAATTTAAAAGATAAGAGCTACACTGAACATGTTTTGGGGGTAATCTCCTGCCCCATTTAGTGAATATGCCCCGTTTCAGTGTAATCTCCTTAGATCAGGTCATGCTACACTCGCCCTGTGCAGTCATTAGCTATAGGACCTAGATGAGTATCCGCAGGGTTTCCTCTGATACATGTGTTATTTAACATGTTATCAGTGCATATACTCTGCTAATCCATCCCGATATAGCAGGTCATTGTTTGATTGTGACACGGTGGAGCGATTAAGAAGTGAACGGGTAATCTGTGCTGTTAGGTCACCTCGAGCGATCCACTAATCCTGGTTTAGAACCTGAAAGAACCGACAACGTCTTCACCTGCCACAGTTTCGACTTGACGCAAAGCTGCCGAGCTGAGAGGAGTTTCATGACTGTTACAGTGAAGAGAGATAGACGTACTTTCAAAACATGCTTTTGTATATTATACAGTTAATTTATTCAAATAGCTGCAGGCAGTAGGTCTTAAAAACATTGTATGATTAGTTAACTCCTTAAAATTCAACATTCAGCAGCCTTTAAGACTAAAGGACATAGTGCAGGTCATGTCATGTTATATCAAAAAATTAAATCTGAAGCAACGTTAGAAGTATTTCTGATCTAATGGAGAATGAGTGTAAATAAAGTGTTGTAAATTAAGCCCACTCATAAAACAAGTTTTGCTTTTAATGAACTCTTTAATCACCTCCCAGGTTTTAGTTTCAGGCTCAGGCCTACGTTCAAAGTCGTCTCTGCTTTGCACTAAATCTAATGAAGAGTTGTTCTCTTTTTATGGGAATAAAAAGGGGAGGGAGCATCAACTAGTTTGTAAACATTTCTTATCTTCTCCTCCTTTAACTTTTCTCCCAGATTACAACTCATTAATGCTGAAATGTAAAATGACATGAGACCAGAAGTCTCCTCCCTGCATCAGTGTATTTTGGATTAAGCTCCAGACAGACACAGCAGATTCTGCTTCTGCTGAGAACATAGTAACTGATATAGTGCAGTAAATTCCTGGTACTGTCTGTAAACTTTGGTGCTGCACAAAAAAAGTTTGTAAAAAGTGACAACGCCATCTGCTGCATGCAGAAACAGGGAGGAGGTGATGATTTGGTTTCAATTATGTTTCTGTGGGACTCCCCTGTAATCATTCACATGACGGTGGAGTCAAACATTAGTCAGTCTGGTTCCATATTTAAACATTTCATTAACTTCACTCCTTTGACAAAGAAAAAAAAAAAAATCAGTTAACACACTGTGAGGACACTGCCACCTGCTGGACGAGGATAGAACTGACTTTAAATCCTTCTATCACTGTCTTATATCAAATTTGGTGACCAGTGATTTAGAGTAAACATTAACACACATATGCACACACCACATATACCTTTTATAGGGGAGTGTAATATAAGGAGGAGTCTTTCTGTTGGTAGGTTTGAATTTCCCACAGCAGCATGTTGCAGTGAATATTACAGTTGAGGTGACCACATTGTAAATATGACATAAATAAAAGGAGGATTTCTCACCTGTCATAAAAGGCAAAAATCTTTCCCTTTAAAAACTACAATGCAAATGAAAAGCGTTTTCAGACATGAGTGTCAACGACGCAGACTTTAGACAGAGAGCTTGTTGTTCAGAGGAATGTTCACCATCTCTGATGTTTTCTGCAGCTGCTGTGTGTTTCCTCCTCGGGCCTCGAGGACTCTACTTGTAGTTGAAACTGTCGCGGCAATGAAGCACCTGTGTCATGTGACTGCAAAAGAGGTTGATGTAACAGATTTTTTGTCTGAGTACAAACTGACACAGGATAATTAAGATTTTTTCTGGAATTTCTTGGCAAATCCTCTGCCTCGCACATCGCCACTGTGCTGCTTATTGATTTGCCACATAAAACGCCTGTTTCCAGTTGAGAGATTATGGGATAAACATCATGAACAGCCTCATGTTGAAGAAAAAAACATTTCAAGACTAAAGCCGGAATATTACGAGAATTAAGTCGTAAACGTAGGCTAAAATTATTAGGCTAAATTTATTTTCTTTTAAAATTACAACTTTTTCTTTTTTTTACTTTTTTATCGAAAGCCCAGAATATATATTTCTTCAACATGGTTTCTAATTCTCCATGGCGCAATAAACGGTT